GGTTTGGTTAGCTTTTGAGGTGAATGCCGACAATTTTTGCGTTTGTAAAGAAAATTATCATAAAAGACTGGATGTGAAATACATGAACGTATAAGATGTCTGCATGTTGAATTATATTTACGAATGATGTCTTTATACCGATGATAAAATTTAGTAAATGCTTTGACTAGTTTGTGATATCAAAAACTCTGGTGTAATAATGTTTCAGTAATACAGAGATTTCTTTCGTTAAAATCTAATACGTTGTTACATACACGAGCGAATCGAACAAGTTGAGATATATAAACACTATAAGATGGTGACAAGGGAACGTCACCATCTAAAAATTGATAATTAACAATAGGAAATGAAAAATCATCTCTTTTATCTTAAATTTTGGTATTAAGCTTCCCGTTAAAGATATAGATATCAAGATCCAGGAAAGGGCAGTGTTCATTGTTAGTATTAGCTTTATTTAAAGTCAGTTCAGCCGGATAAATCTCTTTAGTGTACATACTGAAGTCGTCATTATTGAGAGCCAATATATCATCCAAACATCTAAAAGTGTTATTAAATTTTTGTATCAGATGTTGTTTCGATGGGTCTTTGCTGATTTTTGTCATAAATTGTAACTCATAACAATATAGAAACAGGTCCGCAATAAGTAGTGCACAATTAGTCCTATAGATTTTCACTTTTGTTCTCGTACTAGGAACAACAAAATTATTTATTTTGTGAAAAATTATTTCCGTACCCCATGTATACCTTACAACAAAATAATTTTTATATACCTGTGTACGTTATTTTATTTGGCGGCATTTTGTCTAAGGTTATGGTTGTCTTTCTGATATTGTTTTACATCTAACCCCCTTGTTTAATTAATTTTGTATTTACATTGTGTCACAGATCAAATTTATTCGTTCAGTGTATGTTCACTTGTTTTTGTTAATATGTGTTTTGATTGAGTTAAGCCATTTCAATTGATATTTTATAGTGTGTCTTTCTATGTTGTGATGTTACACTATTGTTTCAGGTAGGGTGAAGGTTGGCGCCTATTAAAACGTTTTAACCCGCTGCATTTGTTTGCACCTGTCCTAAGTCAAGAACCTGATGTTCAGTGGTTGTCGTTTGTTGATGTGGTTTATAAGTGTTTTTCGTTTCTCATTTTTTATATAGATTAGACCGTTGGTTTTCCTGTTTGAATGGTTTTACACTAGTCATTTTTGGTGCCCTTTATATCATGCTGTTCGGTGTGAGCCAAGGCTCCGTGTTGAAGGCCGTACTTTGATCTATAATGGTTTACTTTTACAAATTTTGACTTGGATGGAGAGTTGTCTCTTGGCACTCATACCACATCTTCTTATATCTACCCATTGGAATTCCGATAACTTGACGATATACGGAATCTCCATAGCGAACAAAAATGTTATCTAGTAAAAATTCAGGGGCAGTTATAGTACTTAGTATCAAAGCAGGTCCAATTGACATAGTTCTTTTGTTTGCTGTTACTAAAAAATGACCTAAAAGAGTTTGAACATATATATTCGCATTCTGACTTTTTAAATGCCCATTTAATCAGGTGTGTGAATTTTTTCTTAATAAGATTATGAGGCAAAGTGGTATATAGGGTAGAAAAATCAAAACTTTGAACAGATTCGAAATCACCATTATAAGCATGCAATTTATCAAGTACTTCCAACGAATTTTTGACACTCCAAAAGTAATTCATTTCACTATTTTCAAAGGTCTTATTTGAACAATTTATTACCAGGTTTTTGATTGTACCAAGTGTACTAGTAAGTATAATAGACAGTTCAGTAGTGGAACAATAGCTTGATGACGAAATAAATCTATATTTGTAACGTGTTTTGTGCAGCTTCGAAAACACATTTTTGCTAAATAATTTCAGCCAATATGAAATCATAAGTGTCATATTATTAAAATTCATGTGGGAAAAGAGTTAAACAGTTAAATAGGGCCATGCGGGACGACGGAAGTCGAGTGGCTTCGAAATGTTGAGGTGCTAGGCGCACATTTCTTAGTTTAACAGAAAATCTTGTCTTTGTTTGGTAATATGTTTTTGCATAAAAAATTAAAGCAGCATAACATTAGATTTTCCACTGCCTTTAATTATAAATTAATTGCAATATGATTCCTCGTAGGGCAGTTTTATTATTCTTCGATTTACAAGTTTCAAAAGCTATATTAAAGAAGCGAATTGTATATTTGAACTATACACTGCGAAGTATATGCCTTAGAATTAGCTAGGATTCAGGCTACATTTAAACATAACTAATGTCTTATTGAGGTGACACTGTTGTTACAATTCAAATGGTTAATAGTTAATAGTGATGGAATGAGGCATTAGTTCGTGAAAAGATGTTTTAAAGTTGAAATCAACATGTTAACTTGTCCTTTTAAACAGACTTATATTATTCGTCATGCTTTCTGTTGAACCTAGTATAGTTGTTTTATTATAAGATTTTTCAAAAGTTAAACTAGAAACAACTTTTTGATAGGCTGCACAAATTTAATCCTAATGGTTCTAATTAGTAATTTGATGTCATCTCTTCAAATATTATAGACTTCAACATGACTTGGTAAATTTCAATGGAGATGACCTCCGATATTCTGTTTGTCATATCAATCGTCCATCCTGCTTTTCTCGTTTATTGCAGGATTTCGTAGGAGATTTTGGTTGCTCTAAAGTTCTACTTTTCTACTTAAACTCTTTTTGTTTTAAATTGGAGGGGGGATCTGTTTGCCAATTAATCTTAAACATTTGGCCTTTTCTTCTTCCAAAGCGTTTTGTATGTCCCCTTGAAATCCATATTCTACATGCATTTCTGTCAACCTGCTTACTACATCATGATCCGGATACCTTGGTGTAGATTCAGAAATATCTTATTTTACTAAATGGTGTCTCAGATTGTTTTTCATGTCCAAAAAAATCTGTACACTCATAATCAGAAACATTCAATTTTTTTTTTCATAAATTATTTTGTTTCCTTTTTACTTTTTAAGATGATATAAAATATAAAACAATATCATCCTATGGTGCTTTTATTCCTGTTTCATACTGCATCGAAAATATCAGGCTTAGTCATAAAATTTTACAATGTTTTAGAGGAGATTTAAATAAAGCGTTTCTCAAAAAGAGCTTATTTGTTGTAGACTTTGGCATTGTCTTACAAATCTTAATTCATGTAAAAACTTGATATTGGATAACAAACAGATTTTTAAACAGATTACATTGCGAGAGATCGCATCTCTTATGTGATCAGATTTTAGATATTGAAAACTTGGATTTAATGCTGTGTACACACGCTGTATATATATGTTAGACTTAGATCGACGTCCGGTGTCCAATCGACGTGCGTTCCTCAAATCGACGTCCAAATCTAACGTCACATTCTCATATCAGTGTCCAATATTTTGACCCTCTAATCGACGTCCAATGTGATTGTAGGCTTCTCTAATCGATATCAAATATCAATAAATAATAAATTACTGCATGTATACATGTACATGTATAAGACTATGATTGATTTTGGAACATTCAAATACGAAATAAAAGATGAATTTTGGTCTGTTTTGTAGGGTTATTATACCAACTCAATTTTCAAAAAGTAACAGACTTTCCATAGTGATTTTTTCAATCAGAAATAGGTTACAGATGTGTTGGTATTCATTTTCATTAGGTCGATTTCTATCCGACGCAGAAATTATTGCTATTAGATTGATATTCATTTCTATCACCTGTATCGTTTTGTCTTTATGTAAAGATGTTTTAAGGAACTAATTATCTTTATATATTACGAATCGTAATGAAGTTAGTAGATGTATGAGAAGGAACAACAAAGTCAGTTCATCTCTTCCCAAATAATCAACTAAAACAAAACAAAAGGAATAGCATCGATCAATGACAACAAGACAACCACCGACATCTTATAACATATACATGAATATTAATATTTATCTTGATAAAAGCTATTTTTATCGATCTACGTTGTCATTCATATTCATATTAATAAATTTATGCGAGTATACTTCAATGAGAAAACAACCCAACGACAAAGAAAACCAAACGACATCTAGAGGGCATCATTCACTCTTCAACAAAATAAAGAAGTACCGCTAATTGTTCTGAGAGTACTATAATGCGGACTCTGCAAGAATTTTTTTTATCAAATTCCATAGTTTCACAGCTGGAGTGAAACATATACAAAAGAAATTGGCATTTTGTTCCTTTGCTTTGGACATTTCCATATAATATGGCATGTCAGCCCAACATGTGTCGGCGTTTGGATCTTCATTATTTCTTTTTCTCTCCAAAACATATCCTTCATTAGGTACTGTGTCTTGATCCATTTTTGAAGCCTCAACGGCGTCATTTAATAAAGTTTAGACGTCATTGCGACAAGTCCATAAAACGGAGAAAAGCAAAAAATTGGACGTCGATTTGTAAGCAACAAAGAAGAAGTCGATTAGAGGGGCATACAATTGGCCGTCGATTTGGAATCTTAATTTATTGTGACGTCAGATTTGGACGTCGATTTGAGGAACGGACGTCGATTGGAGAACGGACGTCGATCTAAGTCTTACATATATTATAAGTTATATGGTTTGCTAATGACCCCTACGGATCCATAGAGGGTAAGTAAAATCCATACGCCTAGACCACTCGACCATCTAGGCTATATACACATTTAGCTACGTCAGTCAATGAATGCCTTTCCTCGTCGGCTTAATTTAGGGTTGCAACACAGTACATGATGTATAGTGGCAAGTAGATTGTGTACCGTGCAGATAAGATTATTTTTTGTTTGTCGTAAATGATGATACTTTTACTTACCATGTTGTCTCGTCATATTTTAATTTTATTATATACGTCTAAATTTGTGATTGGATAACCTTTGATTATACAGGGCTAACACTATAATTTTTATTTACTTCGTCTAGGTTCATTGAATATATTTTATGTTTATCCTAAATATGAGGCAAATTCTTTGATTTATTAGGCGAAGTATCTACGGAGGGATCAACAGAAGGTATGAAATACTTGTCATTGTACATATGTTAATTTATTACGCTTTTAGCTTACCTGTCCTTAACCCATTGTACAGCAATCACCTTATGTCCTTCGTTGTTAGTGTTCAATACTATATAACAGTTAATGGGACTTTATTATGATGGTGTAGTCTAAATTTAAAGCAATACAGTTTAAAGATATCTGTTTCAGTTTTACGTATTGTTTGATAATTGTTTTGTGAGATGTTCCCTTATTTTCCATTTTAAAGTCTTGAAAACAATGAAATGATTTGTTTAGAATTGTGAAATCATTTTCATGTGACAACATAATCCTATCATATAGGGTTTTATCATTACCTACACCATTTATCAAAGGCCGGTGGTTCTCTCCAGTAATAGAAATAATTTGTCATGATTCTTGATATTTGCAGATGCAATTTTCATTTGATTAAGTTGTTTGAACTAACATTATCTGTTTTGAAATGTAAAATCGTTTTTATCCAACTACATTAATTTTACCTGTCATAATGGGGTCTATAAAGTTTTGTCGTAGAACGTTTTCTTTCGTTATATAAGATAGTCATGTATTTTTCGGACGACCACAAAATTAAACAGTTTTTCCTTTGTCTTTTCTAAGAAAATTAAAAATGGAAGTATCAAGCATTTACAAATTGTTATCTGTTTTCATAACAATATAAGGGGATGACTCGACCCGTTAAAGTTAAAGATTCGATAAATTCCTATAGTTAAACGTTCTTGCAAAATATGAAAGTTGCAACAAACTTATTTGCAAGTGATGTACAAAGACTGTCCAAATTACAAACAAAAATTGTAATTGAATGAAAACAAATTCAAAAAGTTTGAAGACGTAAATAATCCAACTTTATATATATATTTTTATCTGACAGGGAATATGACAGTCGTTTTATTTTGAAAAACATATCTTTTAAAATTCGATATAAAGACATGTCATTATGATAAATATTGGTTGTTAGTACCAGCCGCATTCACTGCACGATAAAATAATAAGAGATTTATCGGTTGATTATAGTCATTTTACTGAGCAACAAAAGCTCAAATCCCCTAAATCTCATAAATCATATAAGAAGACTCGAAATCAATAAAACGAACAATCATTGTTAGAATCCAATGATCTCTAAAAGAAGCAACACCGGGTGCATTGACAGGCAAAGCGGGCATGATGGCGTGTTTCTAGGCTCAGTAGTTTTTTTGTTAAGTATCCTTGATATGATCAAAACAGCATTTCAAATACAAGTGGCCCGTAACTTCTTTTTTGCAAGTATATAAAAATATAATAATCTTACCTCTATGAACACTTTGAATGTAAAACTTATCTTTACAAAGTGAGTGTTATAGTTCCCTCATTGGCATCCTGCTTCTATTGTCGTGTATGCATGCAACTATCATATTTTATTATGCTTTTTATAACAGTATGAAGTACTTTGGTATTACAGTGGTGGTATACAACCAGCGTATTTTTTTTCTAGACGGAAGGTTGCATTAGAAAAATGATGATATAATATAGATTTACTTGCTTTGACAAGAGAAAAGTCGGATCAATTGAATAAGGTTCGAAAAATGTAAACAAAGTCAAAAATCCATGATCTAGAAAAATAACAGAGCAATTATAAAGAAGGATTGACCCAATAATAATAAAACCTACCACTCAATATTTGACTTCTGCCTTGGAACGGACTCAATATCGTGCTGTCGGATTAATCGATTAAATAGCTTAATACGCCTTTTTGTTTTAAGGTCAATGACAAGCAATAGAAGAAAGCGAATGCAAATTTCAGTCAAGAAAATTCTAAATATAACCTCAATGATTAAATTTATAATATACTAACCTATTTCAATTTGATCAAGTCTTGTGATTAAAACCTATTAATTAAAAATCCGTACTAGATAGGTTAAAAAACACCACTCCTTCATTACAATGTACCAGGCCTGTGGAGGTTATCCCAGAAATACGTGTGGTGACAAATGAGTAACATTTTATTTCACAGATTCTGAATAAGAAATCATTAAACTAATCTGAATGTAAAAATAAATCCACTTTGAAACAATTAGCTCGATATATAACATGTTAATATATACGCTTTATAAAACTGATTAACATGAATTTGAAGATACTTTTGCCGAAAGTACAAATAAAGTTTGTTTCTTGTTTTCTACAATGTCAGTATCTCGGTTTTATTATGAAAATGGCATATACATAACAAATTTGGCATACATTTTCAAAGATTTGATTACACTTATTTTTTTGTTTAGAAGAAGTTGTGTTCTTACAGGGCAACTTAGATTCGACGATTAAAACTCGATTTTTATCACTCTCCGTTTTTCATGTGATATCGTATTAGAAATAAAGTTCCTTTGCATTAGTCAATATTAGCTTTTGGAATAATCTATTGTCCATGTGGTATTCTTTTGCCTAAGCGTGTTCTGTGTATATGACTTATAAAAACTCGGTCTCAGAAACATGTATTGTTTGCACTTTCATCTCAATTTATGTTATTAACGGAATATACATTTTTGAAACAGCTAGTTTTTATTTTACAAAATACATGTGTTTCCCTGAAGTTAATCTTTTATTTTCGATTTGTTTCATATCATATTCTATGTAGAATGACAAAAAAATTGTTTCAGTTATTCTGGTCTTTTTGACTTAAGCAAAAAGAAACTTTGCACCATGTAAAAGAAATGTTCCTGAACACCATCGTTTTTTTCCCTGATATCTAGGAGTTAACAAAAATATTTTCTTGGTAAATATGTGTAGTAATCCGAAATTTTGAATTTTGAAATGATCATCATAGGAAACGTATACACAGAATTACAAAATGTATCTTAATTATATTTGATTTGATATTGATTTATCGAAATAAGAAATTAAATAAAATTCCGTTAAACAGAGTTCCAAAGTTGACACCTAAACCTCATATATAGTTTCGGGATAAGCGTAGTATTTACTTAATATATATTTGTATATTAATTTGTCGAAAACGAAGTATGCAGAATGGACACTTAATATTTACAAGTCAACAAAAGAAACGATACAAGGCAATACACTTTTCCTATACAATGAAATTGGATACATGGAACCAATCTGAAAAATTACCCATGATAGAATACCCTGGTGTTGTCTGTGACAGTAAAACTATTCTTCTTAACTTTAATCTGTAAGCGTCGATATTAACGATTCCAGGATCGCTACACCGTGTAGAACGCCACATGCGGGTAGTCGGCTATATTTGACACGGGGTGGCGGTTTTGAAGCGGAGAAAAACAATCAAGATAAGTTCAAGTATCACAATTTCTTTTTGGAGAATTGTAAGTACCAAATAATGTATTGCATGGAAAGAACCGAATCATAATCTATTTCCAGCAAGCAGAAGCAGACGTTTCAATACTCTGTTTTCTCAAACACCTCTCCATAGTTTTCTGTGTTGCAGATTTTTAGGCTTCATATGCACGTTTCAGAATAAAAAACTACTTTTGACAATTTTGTCACTTATGATGTATATAGAAATGAATTCCTATCATGGAATTTAACCAAATGCCAGCTTCTTAGTTAAAATTCATTGGTTTTAAAACTACTTTTTCATCAAAATATAATGTGTCGCTCGGGGTGTCAGATTTTGCGTCTCAATGGGTAGCGGCATTTATCAAAAAAAGAATAGATTTGCATATAATTCGGTCTTTATCTGATACTTTGTAAATCAAACACACCTACTCTGTTATGATGACAAATTACAAACTTAAGGTATTTCATTTGGCACATATTTTAGTCTTTTAATTAAAGTGCTTTTTTAATTTTTGAAATGGAAAAAAAACTCAAAGTAAACAAATAATGGAATATAAAGAGAGGTGTTATGTTATTTGTTATTTTTTTTATACGTTTAAAGGACTTTAAAGCACAAAACTGTTGAATAACACACGTATGAATGCAAAAGGGTGTAGCCGATTCTTTATAAGATTATCATTTTTTTTAATTAAGTGGCACAGGAAAAAAATTCAAGGTAATGCGGTGAGCAGATCAATCTTTTGTCTTTCCGTGACTTTTTTCAATGTCGTAAATGAAATAACTTAATAGCTTATAAAAACGATCGAATAAAATACTGATTAAAGTTCAAGAGTAGAAATTCCGAGATGGAAATGGAATTCTATATTAGATAAAGTATAAAGATAGAATGTCCTGGCATAAATCTGTTTCTTCGGTCATTTATAGTGAAATGCAGCTGCATATTCTAATACTTGTATTAACTGTCATAATTATTCATAGTTACATATATAATAGTATTGAGCTAAAAGAGATATGTGCAAATCATTTACGATCTCGAATATACATTTTCATTTACGACATTGAAAAAAGTCAAGGAAAGACAAAAGATTGATCTGCTCATCGCATTACCTTGAATTTCATTCCTGTGCAACATTATTTAAAAATCAATATTTTCTTATAATTAATCAAGTACACCCTTTTGCATTCATACGTGTGTTATTCGACAGTATTGTGCTTTAAACGTATAAAAACAAAAGCAATTAATATAACACCACTCTTCATATTCCATTATTTGTTTACTTTGAGTTTTTTTCTTTTCTCTATTTCTAACATTAAAAATGCACATTCTGACCTTCTGCTGTTGTCTGTTCTATGGTCGGGTTGTTGTCTCTTTGACACATTCCCCATTTCCATTCTCAATTTTATTTTATACATTACTTAAAAGACTAAAATATGTGCCAAATGAAATACCTTAAGTTTGTAATTTGTCATCATAACAGAGTAGTAGTGTTTGAATTACAATGTATCAGATAAAGACCGAATTATATGCAAATCTATTCTTTTTTTGATAAATGCCTCTACCCCTTGAGACGCAAAATCTGACACCCCGAGCGACACATTATAATTTGATGAAAAATTAGTTTTAAAACCAATAAATTTTAACTAAAAAGCTGGCATTAGGTTAAATTCCATGATAGGAATTCATTTCTATATACATCA